AGTAGAGACGGGGCTTCACCGTGTTGACCAGGATGGTCTCGATCTCTTGACCTCGTGATCCACCCGCCTCGGCCTCCCAAAGTGCTGGGATTACAGGCGTGAGCCACCGCGCCCGGCCCTGGAGAGATAAATTTAAGGGTCATAAATATATAGAGGCCAGTGCAGTGGCTTGCACCTGTAATCCCAGCGCTTTGGGAGGCTGAGGCCTGATTGCTTGAACCCAGGAGTTCAAGACCAGCCCGAGTAATGTACTGGAAACCCGTCTCTACAAATAATAAGAATATATTAGCCAGGTATGGTGGTGCACACCTGTAGTCCCAGCTACTGGGGAGGCTGAGGAGGAAGGATCACTTCATTCCGGGAGGTAGAGGGTGCAGTGAGCTATGATTGTGCCCATAAACAGCCACTGCACTCTAGCCTAGGCAACAGAATGAGATTGTGTCTCAGAAAAATAAAAATAAAATGAAATAAATATATAGACAATATGTAGATACTATTCAAAGGTTATTAGACTGAGATCACATAGGAAGTATGGATAGACAAGAGCGGTGTATGAGGAAAGAGGAGGAAGAGGAGGTAAGAGAACAGTATCTCAGGGCACTTCCAACATATACAAGTTGGTAGAAAAAGATGGGTTCGAAAAGGAGATTGTTTGGGAGCTGGTGAATTGAAAAAAAAAAAAAAACAAGTAGGATGTGTAGCTCACAAATTACAAAGTGAACAAAAATCTCTCCCATCTTTTAGCTCAGACTTCTTAGTTACATTCTAAGGTATTTGCCACACACTGCTTTTTACTGATGGTCATTAAAATGAGAAAACCGTAGGCAAGGTGCCTGCTACAGTTGCCAGACCCATGTTATCACGTTTTTGTGTTTAAGTTCCTTGAGAACGGAAGTTTTAGGTATTATTTATGCCACCCCTTCTCAAGGACCTCTTACAATGAGGGCATTGGAAGACCATTCCTGTACTAACTTCACAAGCCAAAGAGTTTAAAATTCAAAGGCTAACTCCACTCTCCTGAACAATCAGTGCTGAAGACGACAAGACAACCTGGGCAGCCCCACCAAGCTGCACCCTCCCACCGTCCCTGGCTGCTCCTTGAGACTCCGCACCAGCGTGGGTAGGGAAGGCCCCGGCACCACCAACGAAAGAGGAACAGACGCACGCCCAGGCCCAGACAGGGGCAAGGAGACTAGTTGAGTTCCACGCGGACTCTGCCCGATAAAAGGGCAGTGGCACCCTGGGGCAGCAATCAGGGCCCACGGCGAGGCCGAGCGGTGCAGAATACACACCTGGATGACTCGCTGCTTGAGTTTATTATCCACGAACCCTGCAGGTCTGGGCTTCATCGCGTCGCTCTCCAGAGCCACTGCTCTGACCGCCAGCTCCCTGCGAACCGCGGGCCTCGCAAGGGTTGCCCACCGCGAATGCCGGGCCAGTAGGACTTGAAATGCGCCCCTCCTGGGTCCTAGCCCGCGCCGTTTCCATCAGAATAAAAGTAATGCGAATGAGAGGGGAAAATTCCGAGGAGCGGGAAAAGACTTGAACACCTGAGGGAGTTTCTAGTGGCCTTATTTTTCAGGCATGCCCAGTGGGCCTTGGACGATTAGGCCCCATTTGAACGCTCTCAACCTTATTGGTTCCCCGCCGGGCGAACCAGGCTGGAGGACGTTCCTACCCCGGCGCGGCGGGCGGGGAAAGTATCAACAATGTCCGCTGGTAAACTTGGGTTGCTTCCCTCAGGCTTTCCAGCCACACTTCATTCTAATACAAAGCTAGTCTTGGCAAAAGCAGCGACAGTAGATAGTCGGAGTGATAAAATCAGGATAAAAACACACCACCAGCCTCTGCTTGCTTTCCCACGTAGTTACCTTACATTTTTGAGGCCCCACGAAAGAGCTAGGTGAATAAGAAAAGGAGGGACGGATTTACCCAGATAACTAAGTCATCTGTTACTTTTAGAACTCGTTTGACCTGCGCTGTTATGAGCAAGTAATTTGTTGAATATATCCAGTGCAAGACTCCTTGGCCCAGAATTTTATTAAACGTTTCTGTTTGCTCCAGGTAAGTTTATCCTGCAGTTAGGGAGACACAAAGGGATAGTTACCAAGCATTTTTTTTTTTAAGTTGCAAGCTCTAGTTTCTATTTCAGTCGTGTTTTGAGTATTCTTATTTCAGGTCCTATTTGGCTTGTGACAAGGTTAAGTGCAGTGTATTCAGGGGCAGAGGGAGGAGAGAAAATGGAATTAAGGGTGTGAAGCTGGGTGAGGTAGCTCATACTTGTAATCCCAGCACTTTGGGATGCCGAGGTGGGCGGATCTCTTGAGGTCAGGAGTTCGTGACCAGCCTGGCAAACATGGTGAAACATTGTCTCTACTAAAAATACAAAAATAAGCACTGAATTAAGTATTAGATTTCCCACTCAAACTCTTGGTCCCTTTGGCTGCAACTTCATTTCCTACTTCTTCGCTATACTCTTTTATTTTTATTTTATTTATTTATTTTTTTGAGACAGAGTCTAACACTGTCACCCAGGCTGGAGTGCAGTGGTGTCATCTTGGCTTATTGCAACCTCTGCCTCCCGGCTTCAAGCTATTCTCCTGCCTCACACTCCCGAGTAAGTGGGACTACAGGTGTCTACCACCACACTCCGCTAATTTTTTATAATTTTAGTTGAAACAGATTTCATCATATTGGCCAGGCTGGTCTCGAACTCATGACCTCGTGATCTTCCTGCCTCAGCCTCCCAAAGTGCTGGGATTACAGGTGTGAGCCAGCTCGCCAGGCTATTTTAATTTTTTTTAGTTGTGGTAAAATATAAGAAAATTTACCATTTTAAACATTTTAAAGTGTACAGTTTAGTGTTATTAAATACATTCATGATATGCAACCATCACTGCCATCTAGTTCCAGAACTATTTCCATCTTGTAAAACTGAAACTCTATACCAATTAAAAGATAACTCCCCAATCCTCTGTCCCCGCAGCCCCTGGCAGCTAGCATTCTACTATCTGTCTTTATGATTTTGACAACACTAACTTCCTCACATAATTGAAATCTTCCAGTATTTGATTTTCGTGACTAGCTTGTTTCTTAGCATAATACCCTCATGTAGCATGTGTTAGCATTTCCTTCTTTTTTTTTTTTTATTTTTTTTTAGATGTAGTCTCACTCTGTCTCCCAGGCTGGAGTGCAATAGCGCAATCTCAGCTCACTGCAAACTTTGCCTCCTGGGTTCTAGTGATTCTACCACCTCAGTCTCCCCAAGTAGCTGGGAATACAGTTGCATGCCACCACACCCGACTAATTTTTTGTAATTTTAGTAGAGATGGCATTTTGCCATATTGGCCAGGCTGATCTCGAACTCCTGACCTCAGGTGATCTGCCTGCTTCGGACTCTGAAGTGCTGGGATTACATACAGGTATGAGCCACCACACCCAGCCTTTCCTTTGTTTTTGTTGTTGTTTGTTTGTTTTTTTGAGACAGAGTTTTGCTCTTGTTGCCCAGGCTGGAATGCAATGGCATGATCTTGGCTCACCTCAACCTCTGTCTCCCAGGTTCAAGCCATTCTTCTGCCTCAGCCTCCCAAGTAACTGGGATTACAGGCATGTGCCACCACACCTGGCTAATTTTGTAGTTTTAGTAGAAATGGGGTTTCTTCATGTTTGTCAGGCTGGTGTTGAACTCCTGACCTCAGGTGATCCACCTGCCTTGGCCTCCCAAAGTGTTGGGATTACAGGCATGAGCCACAGTGCCTGACCTCTTTTGTTTTTTAAGGCTAAATAAAATTTGGCCCTTTTGCCATTCTGCCTTTTGCCATGGGAGGACACTGCAAGAAGGCCCTCATCAAATGATGGCTCCTTGATTTTGAACTTTCCAGCCCTCTTGCATTCATTCGACAAGTATTTATTGAGTGCCTACCAGTTTCAGTCTCTGCTCTGCCCTTTAGGCTTGTGAGGAAAAGCAGAAGAATTATAATTGTAACTTTTTATTTTTATTTTTATTTTATTTTATTTTTTTAAGACGGGGTTTCACCATGTTGGTCAGGCTGGTCTTGAACTCCCGACCTCGGGTGATCCGCCCGCCTTGGCCTCCAAAGTGCTTGGATTACAGGCGTGAGCCACCGCACCTGGCCAGTTGTAACTTTTTATAACATTTTAAAAATTAAATTAAGTATGTACTTGATTACATTAAATGTTTGTAAAGATTCCCTACAGCATATAGTACAAGTATAGTCAATGCTTAGTAATTTTAAAAATGAAATGTAATTCTGTACATGCCAAATGTACCACATAGAGTAAAAACACACTGAAACCAGGTGCGGTGGCTCATACCTATAATCCCAGCACTTTGGGAGGCAGAAGCAGGTGGATCACCTGAGGTTAGGAGTTCAAGACCAGCCTGACCAACATGGTGAAACCCTGTCTCTACTAAAAATACAAAATTATCTGGGTGTGGTGGTGCATGCCTGTAATCCCAGCTACCTGGGAGGCTGAGGCAGGAGAATCACTTGAACCTGGGAGGCAGAGGTTGCAGTGAGCTGAGATTGTACCATTGCATTCCAGCCTGGGCAAAAGAACAAAACTCCATCTCAAAAAAAACACAAAAAACCACATTGAAAGGCCTAGTAGCATCACAACATGTACTAGGTAACATAGTTTATTAGTCTATAATTTGTCATGGAATACTAACCTACACTTAGGGTTAACTTCATGGGTGTGTGGCCTGTGGAGTCACACAGGGCCCTGTGCTCAGAAGGGCCCCACACGTGGTTTAATGCTCTACTGTTGCCATCTTGAAATACTTTCTGAACAAGCCATCCCTTATTTTCATTTTATACTAGGTTTTACAAATTATTTAACCAGCCCTTCATATGTAAACTTGAAGTACTCTAGAATGCCTTGTTCTTAAAGGCAGGTAACGTGTTGTTCACCTCATTACTGATTTAGGTACAGAAGGCAATAATTGAAAGTAAATTAATTCTAGATGATAATATGCTTGAACATTTTCCATTGGAATTATTTCAGCAATTATTGCCCAGAAGACCATTTTACATTGATTCCGGAGTTTGGATTTATAGTATCATGCATCAAAACTGAAAAGATTACTGAACAGTAACCTAAGTGCTTATACACTTCAAGTACTTCCTTTTTTAATTGAAACGTCCTCCTTTCTTTAGTGGTGTAACCCCACCTAGTGGTGGTGGCATATTTTATCTTTTGCCTTTTTTTTTTTTTTTTTTTAAGAGATGGGATTTC